ATGAAGGATTAAATATATCTAATATAAATTAATATTATATTTTCAAAAAAAACTTAATTTTTTTGTAAATATATTGAATTTTATATCTTTTTATTCAAAAATATGACTTATTAAAGTCAAATCATTATTGCTTTAAATAAAAAGAATGATATTAAATTTATTTATAAAAGTGTGATATATGTATTGATAAGTAATTTTTGAACTATAAATCCTTCATTATTTTTTTTAAAAAATATATATTTATGTTTAATGAAAAAAATGTAGTTAATTTTTAAAATATTTATTCTTAAGATATTTTATTATATTCACTTATCAATTTTTATATATTAAAAAAATATTATTATATCAAAAAATATATACGTATATAAATATATATATATATATATATATATATATATAGTAATTCAAAAAATTGTTTCAATGTTGACATATTTTAGAAAAAAATTGTATATTATAGATGAATTGTAGTAAATAATGACATGTGGTTTGTATAGCAAATAAAGTACTCTTTTACAACTACCAAATGAGCTTAGGCTGAAAAGAATTAATTAGGTAATTGTGAAGTTATGACTAATTCAATTTGAAATACTATTAAAACATTTTTTTGAATGTGGTATCCAATTACATATCAGTACTTTGTAGGACCTCTTTTGGCCTTGATAACTGCTTCCAACCTTCTAGGCATACTTTCTATTAACTTTTGGTACAAAACTGCTTCAATATTATTCCATTCCATAGCTATTCTTTCTCATAATTCTTAAACTTACTTTGGTTTTATCTTCCATGTGTTGAGCTAGTATTTGAGGTGCTTCCAAAAGTATTCAATGGAAGTAAAATTAAGACATTGAGTAGGCCAATCTATTACTTTAATTCTATTATGATCAAACTACTTTCATGTTAGTTTTGAGTTATATTTGAGGTTGCTATCTTGCTAAAAAATCACCTCTTCTTCAAAAATACCAAATTCTTCAATGCCATGAAGCACATTTTTTTCAAGAATTTCCACAAATTTCTTGGCATCCATCCTCTCCTCATCCTCTCAATTCCATTCCATCTTATATAATTTCATACCATTATATTTGTACCCCTTTGTTTAATTATTTCTTGGATCTTTTTGTCAAGCAAGGACTGATCCTTTTGTTTTCACACTGACTTTTTTCCATTTGATCCAAATCTATTGATTTTTGTCTCATGAGACCAAATAATCTTCTTTTAATCCTCTATAATCCATTCTTTGTACTTCATAGTAAAATCCAAGCATTGTTTTTAATGGCAAGTAGATAGTAGTAGCTTTTTTTTTCTTCACTATCACTTTTATATTCCATTTCTTAAAAAAGAATTGAATAGTTTGAATTAACACAAGATTACTGATAATATTGTTAAGATTTTTGGCAATCTCAATAGCATTTTCAACCTTTTCAGTGTTGATTTGGCAAATGATTGTCCTTTCATCTATTATAGTGAGTTTCTTTGATCTACCTAATTTAAGATTTTTTATTAAAAATAAACTTTTTTTAGCCTAAAGATAGTAGTTTTATTGCAACTAAGTTCTCAAAAGTAATTTGGCCATAAGATTTTTGAAAATAAAGAAGAGCAAAGGTGATGTTGTCTTGGAGAGAGCACAGAATGGATCTCATAGTTGTTCAAGGAATTGTCAAGGATAAAAGAATTTGACAAAGAAATATGTCAAGATTAAAAACAAAGAATAAGATTTATAGCAAAAATAATTCCAAAGATTCCTATTAATACTATAATGAAGGTTACAAAAGTCTATGGTACTTTCTATCAAAGTTTTTAGAAGTCTAAAGAGGCTTCTAAAACCCTATGAAACTTTCTAAGAGATTGTGGAAGATTTTACAAGTATTTAGAAGATTCTAAAAAAAATTAGAAGATTCTAGAAGATCCTTGAATGCCGTAATTTGGAATATATCCATATCAAAAATTGTGATTAAAAATGGGACTTTTATAGCTAATAGTAAGCATGAATGATGTCATTAGATTAGTAATAACATCATTATAGTAAATCTAATGATGATAAAGTGTTGTAATATTGAGTGATTAATAGAATCCAAAAATTAGACACCACACTCAAAAAATTATTTCAATACTATTCCAAATTAGATTGGTCATAGCTCCACAATTACCAAATGGATTCTTTTTAACCTAGGTACATTTGATAGTTGTAAAGGAGTAATTTATTTGCTATATAAATCACGTGTTATTATTCACTAAAATTCATCTTTTATATGCCATTCTTTTCAAGTTATGTCAACATTGAAACAATTTTTTGAGTCACTATATATATATAATTTTGAAATCGTAATGTCAAATGATAAAATTATTATGAATTTAGATAGAAAATAAATTTCATATATTATGTATATAAATATACATAGAAGTGAAAACATACTAATTTTTATAATACATCATTTATTTGTATGTTTATTTATTTATTTATTTAAAATACTATAGTATCAACATTTATAAATTTGATTTATTTGAATCTACATGTGTGTATATTAGTGTGTGTTTTTTTTCTTTTTTAACACACATCAATAATAAAAATAAATAAAAAAAAAGATAGATAAATAAAACCAAGATATATAATAAATAATTTTAAAATTTTTCTAAGAACTGTTCATAAATACTTTAAAGTATCTTTAAAATATTGAAGCTTATATGAAAGCTTACATATAAGTTTCAATATAAATATTCAAGACATGATGAAACTTCTACAAGATTATCTAACATAACTTCACATGTCAAATAACAAACATAATATTATAACATGTACATGAATGGATTTTGAAAGTTGGATGTTTTACAAATGGAGGAAGAGAGAAGAAATGAGTATTAAACAAGGCCCGTTTTAGACTAGGAACAAGAATGGAAATGAAGTACAGGAACAAGAATGAAAAGGACGGAGGAGGGAAGGAAGGCTAGGAAGAAGGGACAAGAATAAGGGGCTTGAAATAAAGAATAGAATTGAAGAGAGCTGAGAAAAAGAGATGGAAATAAGGACATTGGAAACAAGGAGGTTGAAAACAAAGAGGTTGGAAATAAAGGACAAGAATGGATGATAGACAAGGAATCAATCATGAGATGGTAAGGAAAGGTATAGCATTAACAATATTAGAATATGATTTTTAAAACTCTATATATATATATATATATATATAATAAATTTTTAATTAAATATTTTAAAAAAAATTTATTTATATCTAAAATAACATGCATAATCTACTATAACTTCTTTGTTATAAATAAAATCTTTAAAATATTTTTTAAAATATTTTTTAATATAAAAATATATTTTTTAATATTTTTATTTAGTTTTTTTAGTATATATATATATATATATATATATATATATATATAAGTACTTATATTTATATTTATCCTTATTTTTCTTGACCACTTCAAAAAAAAATATTTATATAAATATCCATATATAAATTTGAAAAGTATATATTTTCAAGAAAAGAAAAAAAATTGACCATAAAAATAATTATCCGCCTTGAATAAAGATTTTTTTACAATAGTATGGATGAGATATCAAAAAGATTAATTTAATTTAAATTAAAAATCAAAAATCAAAAATTTAAATTTTATATTATTTTCGAATTTTACTAGATATTTGCAAATTTCTTCTACCATAATCATTAACTCCCTTATTGAATCTTATAGATATGTATAATCCAAAGCTTTTATATTATAAACTTAGATTTAATATAAAATGCTATTATAATACTTATTATAAATTAAGTTATAGTAAATTATTATAACTTACAATTTATGATGGTTAAAATTAATTTTCATTCATTAATATACTATTCTTTATAATATTTTGTAGTTCCAGACATTTTTAATCTAATATAATAAAATATGTCATTTTACCTTAATTTAATAATTTATTGTCTTTAAACTATCACATGCAATATGCTTTTATAATAACTATTTTAAAGCATTCATATATAGTATTATAATATGTTTACACATATATATATATATATATATATATCTTTTATATCATCTATGTAATCTAATTAAAAACTAATCAATAAAAAAATTCTTATTTTCTTAGCATGACATTTGATTTGTCAAATTTTAATAGAATATACTAAAATAGTTATATTTTTATCGTAATTTTTATTTTTAATATATAAATATATATGGTTTAAAGTATATTTTAAATTTTATTATAATTATTTATAAGTTTTATAAATAAAAAACATCTATACTATGTTTTCAAAATAAATCAATATATTAATCATTATAAAAATGTCTACAAATTTTATTTTGATAAATCCATTGGAATAGCTTAAACTATGCAAGTATAAAAACAATTACACTTATTAGAAAAATAATGATAAGTTTAAAATTATTTTATCATACTTTTCATAATCTTTACAATAATTTTTTACATGCCATCTAATTACATAAATTTCAATTTTAATTCTCAGATTTTATTTTTTAAAAAAATAAAATACAATTATTTTATTAGTAATTTTAAAACCACAAATTATATTTGTTCTTACATTAGACTTTTTGGATAAAATTGCAGGTAGTGAGTTTCCTTTCTTTGATACAGTATATGAAAAATGAGCTTGTCACTCCAAGAATATTCAAAAGTACCACATATCTTACATTAAAGGACACCTTCCATTTATTTTAATTGGTGATCTTTTTTTATATATTTATTTTTTTATTATCAAATGCTCCCCCCCCCCCTTCTACCTCAACAACTATTGTTTAAAAATATGTGAATACACAAACATGTTTTTTAAATGAGATATTTTGAAGCAAGAAATGCATCCAAAGAAGATATTCACAAAATTCAACCCACACATCCCATCACATGAAATGAACCACACTACAACGTGGCGCACTGTGGGGGCGTAACGCACCAAGAGCCAATAACCCATCAGCATGGGTGCTCTTGACCCCCCGAAATGAATGAATAAATGAATGATTTTATAAAAGGATGAATTAACTGATAACGAGTAAACCGCGAGGGGCACCGAGAGGGGCTGTAGCATGCGAAGAGAGAGAGGCAGGCAGCAGCAGTATCAGTGTGAGTCGCCGTGCACGCTGAGGCTGCTCCAGGATTGTGCACTTCGGAGTCGCGAGGTGGAAAAAAGAAGGGGAAAAAGACAAAGCTTGGGGGGTCAGGGTGGAGGATATTGACAGGACAACATTGGGTCGAGGCTGAATTGCAGGGGAATCGATCGATCCAGGTGCAAAAATCCCACTATCGGAGGAGGACGTGCACGAGGGGTTGCGGTCGGAAAACCAAGACTACTCTACCCTGCATTTTGGCCAGGCTCTGTGTGTTTTCGGAGAGGCGTCGTGGGATGAGAGACGAGGACTGAACATCGCGACCAGGAGTTTGCAGGGTTGAGTCCTGGCGAAAGCACAGAGCTCTTGCTGTGGTCCGTGATTCTGTGGCGTGGGAAGAAGAAGCCGAGGAGGTTGTGCCGCGGAATTGGTGGTATTTGTAGGCGCGTGGAAAGTGGGTGATTCTGTTGGTGCCGCGCCTCTGTCGTGTTGGGTGCTGGATTTCGACGCCTGCTTCATGTATTGCACTCGAGATTTGCTGGTAGCAGGTTGGGCCAATGTTCGTTTCGATGCGTTTTTAGAGTTCTGTGCGAGTTGGCTTGGAGCTTGCGTGGATCCAGGGTCTGTCGAATCCTGGATTGCTTGCTGTTTGTAGGCTGCCGTGATGCGTTGTTGTACTTGTTGCATCGCAAAGTAGTTTCATGCTGAATTAGCTGTGGTTAGAATTTGGGTTTCTATCTGACTGCACATTGCCGTCTCGCTAAGGTGGCTGGACAGTTGATCACGAACGCGAACCTTGTTGCAATGTCGACACTCTCTGATCCACATTAGACTGCGCACCTGGCAGGTTTAGAGGGGGAGTTCGCTTGAGAGACTTGCTTGAATTTTGTCTTCATTCTGTTCCGCCGTCTCCTTTTTTTTCTTTTTCCTTGGAGAGTGGTATTCCAAGGTCGTCAACCTGGCAACCCTGGAGCATAACGACATGAGCAGGCGATGCTCGCACTGCGGCCTCAATGGACACAACAGCCGGACGTGCCCCGAACGAGGGGTGCGGCTGTTCGGGGTGCGGCTGACGGACGGCGTGAGCAGCACGAACATGCGGAAGAGTGTGAGCATGAACAATTTGAGCCACTACTCGAACGTGCACAACCCAGCGTCGCCTCCAGAGCAGTGGGAGTCCGGAGCGGCTCCCGACGGGTATGTGTCGGATGGTCTGGTGCAGACGTCGAACAACGCTCGAGAGCGCAAGAAAGGTACAATTTCCTTCTTCACAGAGTTTTTGTGTATATCAATTAGTAGCACGTGTTTCCTCTTGCTCTGTGTTGGAATCGTTGAGGACGGCAGATTTACAGGCATTGCATTCAAAATTCGAGTTTGAAATTGTGAGAGCGGATTGGTGTAGATAGGCTGACGGGTGAAAGTTGATTGGCTTCAATATAAAAGTCAAACTTCGAAGTCGGTTTTGTCATTGTTGACTGAGAGTTTAGATGCAAGATGTTCGGCGGATAAGTTGTTCCAGGACACAACATCGTGTCTTAAATCTATGCAAAGTCGAGATGGGCGCGTAGTTTTTCTTTCATTGCTGACTGTGAGCCCTTAAGTAAAGAGTTCATGCAGTTCATGCTCAGACAGAAGTGCTCCGAGATGTTCTTTTCCACTCTATTCTCGGTGCTTAATTCGGGGTAGAATGGTTCTTTGAGTTTTGAATTCTCCTAAACGTGTACCCATTGTTCCGTTTCAGTGCATTACCGAAAACATTAGTATGAGTGTCTCTTCTATACAAAGACGACGTTGAATACGTGTTTTCAAGTTTTGCGTGTAGTCTGAAACTTCCAGGGCTTCCGCATGTGCGTTTCAATTGTTGTCCCGCGCATACGTCAAATTTGATTACTGTTATTACAATGTAAAGCTACCCAGATATTGTGGTCACGTGAGTGTAGCGTTAAGACTTTGAACAAGAGTTGTCGTACTGTAGGAGTGATGTTGAAAATACCATAAAAGCAGGTTGAAATCTTATGGGTGTCAAATTCAAAGAGCTCTGTAGATTTTCAGCAAATGCAGATCACTCTCGCTCCTAGCCAAATGGATTGATAGAAAGAGCTTGTATTTGCTAGGTAGAAAGACAGTGCTTCTATTTTATCCCTCTCACTAGTAAACAGAAGCTAAATTGATGTAATAAATTGGTTCTCGTTGTTATTACAGGTGTACCATGGACGGAAGATGAGCATCGTCTATTCTTGCTGGGATTGCAAAAGCTCGGAAAAGGTGACTGGAGAGGTATTTCGAAGAACTTTGTGCAAACCAGGACACCGACACAAGTTGCTAGCCATGCCCAGAAGTATTTCATCAGACAAAGCAACATGAACAAGAGAAAGAGACGATCCAGCCTTTTTGACATGGTTTCGGAGATAGTACGTGTCTATCAACTCTGTGCATTTCTCTGCTTACTTGATACTCGCAGTCTTCTCGTACTTCACAACACTTCAGTTGAACTTTAATATGCCTGTATAGTAGTTCTATCTGGAATCTGGCTTTGCATGATATTGGTTTTATGTCACATGCTGTGCATGCATTGGAACGAAATATGTTTGTTTTTAGTCCAGAAGGAATATGTGTTAACCTATTCTCTGGTATGATGTAGGGTATTCCTTCGATTGCCGAAGAGTCCACGTCCATCGCTGATGAGGAGCACGCCACCCCGCTCCCGCAGTTGAGCCTGGGTCACAGCTCCCTCTACACTGCAGCAGGGGTGCTGTACGAGGCGTCGTCGATGCAGGGATACAGGCTGCCAGTTCGGCCTCACTCGGTGCCCAAGCATGCAAGCCTGCCCATGGCGTTGCCGTTGATGGCGGTGGGAAGCAGCAGAGGAGGAAGAGGAGCAGCGGGTGCAGAGGGGATGACGACGGAGGTGGTGGGGATGATGGGGTTCGATGCCAAGAGCTCGTCCAGAAGTGGGCTGGAGAGACCAGTCGCGCGGGGGATGAGCAGCAGCTACAACATGGAGAGCAGCTCCTCCAGGAGCGCCATGGACAGAGGCGGCCCGGCCGTGCCAGTGGCAGTGGCATCATGCGCGGGAGACCCGGGCGTGCGCGTCGGTGGAGCGTCGGGGGCTGGAAGCATACCGTTCTCGTTCAGCTGGTGGGCAGGGCTGGGGCAGGGCAGGCCGATGGGTCCGTCACCGCCGCAGTGCAACATCGTGAGACCGACAGCGAAGGTGGCCGCGGTGAGCTCAGCACCAGCGAAGATGGAAGAGGAGGAGGAGAAAGAGGATGGTCGGGACATCGCTGAGCTGAGCTTGGGACCGTCGCGTGCGGAGCCTTCGCAGCTGACGGCAAAACTGCTGGAGGCACCGTCGAGGCATTCGTCGGCGTTCCACGTGAGCTCGTCGTTCGATGCGAACAGCATACAGCAGGGAGTGAATGCGATCAGCGTGGTGTGAAGCGGGCAGAGGGAGGGAGGGAGAGAGAGAGAGTAGGAAGAAGAGCGTAGGAGGTGTAGAGTAGGTGGCAGGGCAACTCCGGTGCATAGGAAGGAGAGCCATGAACGGAAGAAGGAAAAGAAGCAGCAGCAGAAGTGGCATGATAGAGGGGTCGCTGCAGAGATAAATTCTTATGTACATAGCTACATTTATTGGTGCGCCAGAGCAGAGAGAAGACCACAGCAGCTGTAAATTTGCGACGACGTTGAAGAATTCATTTCAGTGCGTCGACCCACGACATGAGAATCGACACTCAGTCTAAGCTTCGGAGGTTTCCTGTTAGTTTTATTCGAAACATAGTGAAGTTTGTGGCAGCTAAATTATGCACGCATCTGGTGTTTGCTTTGGAGTTGCGATAACTAATGAATATATTGTCTCACTTGGTTTGGTGTATGCTTTTTTCCGTTTGTTGCTGATCATATTATTGTACTCGTTGAAGAGGCATGGTGAAATGAGATTTGCAACTGATTCTGGCATACTAATAATTGTTTTCATCTCTATAATATTGCAAAATCATTGATATAAAAAATAAAAATAGAAAGACAAACTGTATTCAACCATACGGTACCTATGCTATATTACGATGTATATATTATTCTGTACTATCTTGCTTCTCTTGCATGTATATTTAACTGTGATTCTACACATTTTACTACTTTCTCTGTACCTTGAATACAATTCCAAAGGACATATCCTAATTTGAATTTGCACACCCAATATAGTGCTATCCATTTTCATGCAACACCATTAGTGGTGAGCTTGGGAACTGGTTTGATTGGGTTCCACAAAAGGCTCTTGGTATCCCTCGGTTTTTCCTCCCTTTCTTTTTCCTCCACTGGGTACCAAAAAGTTGAGGGAAACATGTACCAATCTTCTATATCTGTCTGCTAGCCTTACAAATCTCTGCGATGGCTAGCTCTGTGTCTGGACCCATTTACTCACAAATGGGGACCAAGTGTATTATTCTCATGTTTCTCACACCCACAGTGAAAATGCTCCTGTGGGTACAACAGCTTGCCAACACATTTTTGGTTTTCTCCTTTCCTGCATGTTCTGCAACACCAAATGGGACCACTGAAAGCACAACCCTTGTGTCATGTACCTTCAATCCAAATTTTCCTTTTGTTTATCCATTGGTGTTCACTTTAAGGAGCAGTAATTATTGGCAGCTTCAACTTAATCTGAGGTGGGAGTGCATGCATGGAGTTCCGATTCCATTTTTCTGGGAAAAAAATAGAAACAAACTTCTTTTCTTTTGTCTATATATACATAGTAAGTAAATATGTCAGCATGGTCATATTTAGCTGTAAAGTCCTCTTGCATTGGTCCTTTTCCAACCACTTTTTTGTGTCCTTTTTCTACCCTCCCCAAGGACAAAGACCTCTGTCTAATTTTACATACAAATATAGTAAGAAAAATGGGCCTTTGAGAAAAAGTATGAATAACTGCAATCATGCAATTGTACCCTCTTTAGACAGGTTAATGACCAATCCAGATATAACAGATTCAGCTCTCAAAGTGAGGAACCTCAGCAACTAGAAACACACCCCCTGGGGCAACAAGTTTATGCCCCACTAGTATTACCTCCCAAACGTTGAAAGCAAAAAACAATTAATACTGTGTCGTCTTTTGACAATACCCACCCTCTGAAAAACTCCTTTTATGACCACACAAGAACAACTACGCATCCATTTTGGTAATTTTATTTGAAAATGAATATGGATTTGTCTACACTCTTCAATCACAACCTGACATTTTTTATCCACATTTTTCGTGAACAGTACAAGTTTTAGTTGTTGTTCTTTTTGTCTTACTCAACAACCCATCTTCGTCAATTTTACACCAAATTCCTCTTTTTCTGTAGTTCCAAAATAACATGAGGGGTCATAGTTGAGCGTAAGAAAGAAGGAACGCCAGCTCACTCTAGAATGCCTCAATAGAAATCTGGCAGTTATCAGTTCATGGGCACCAGCATTTGCATTTTCCCAGAATCCTTTTTCACAAAATTCGGGGGCAAAAGGCTTGACAGGTTAACACAACTCATTGAACAGCCTGCCATAAGCATGTAAAGCCTGGCCCAAACAACAATTTTCTCACCCCTGAGTGTACGGATGTGAACGCAATAAATAACATTATTTTAATTGAGAGATATTGTTAATATAATAATAAAAATGTGTTGATCATTGGTGATCATGCTCCTAGTCTAGTCTTATCAAGTAACAAGGTGCCATGTTCCAAAGCCTCGATTCTCTCCAAAAAGATGGACCAATAGCAGAGCTGCCATTTTCCTCTGTCATTCCATTCAATCCCATCGCAGATTCCACCAAACTGACATTGTATAATTATGAAGTCTCGTTTTTATTTTTTGCAGAAAAGCCCAACTTTGAAAGCTTTCCTTTCTATTCCTGATGAAACCCTGAAACTAGGGCCCTGGAAGATCCACAAAAGCTTCATCTGGAAGCGAAGTTTTTAAATAGAAAACCATGAGGACAAACCTCGTCAGTCAATGAGCATGAAATGGCATCACTATGACAAGATCATAGTTTCAGTAAAGTTTGGAAATAAAATAAAATAGTGCCCCATGTTAGATTTTATTGTGCTCGTTATTTACCTCGTATGCTCTTATTATTATTATGATTATTATTATTTGTGTGGCAATAGTACATGTGCATGTGTGTTAGTGTCTACTGAACAAGGTGGATAATTCACATTTGAGATTCAAAGTAAATATACCTTTCATGTAAATTGCAATCCTTTTTGCTGCCATTAGTCATTCTCTTGTAATTCAATAACATCTTGGACCACATTTTTGATTGTGTGAATAGAAATTTTATAACATTGGTAAATATAACCACTATTCATAACCATCCACACATTTATTCCTATTATTCTTTGAGGTTGAATAAAGTATGTCTTGAATTGAATTAAGCTGCGATGATACCAACATGATTGCTGTGGAATAAAATGTAACGACTAAAATAAGAGACCCTTTCACAAAGAGGTTCATGCTTATCTACTATAATTACATTTAAAAAGAACTATGAGATGTTCTGTAGAATTCTATCAAAATTATTGGGCAAGAATTTTATATCGATTTAAAACATATCTATTCAATATTAATAATGTAGCGCATTACAGTTATAAAATGTAACACAACAATTTACAGTGGTTTATTAAATTTTAAGGACCTTTTATTTTTTTGCACTCTCATGTGTGTGTGTATATATATATATATATATATATATATGTGTATATATATATATATATATATATACACACATATATTCATACACTCATAACTTTGATATTTTTATTTTCTTTTCCCATTGTTACATTTATTATCTGTAATTAAGACTGTCTCTAAAAAAAACAACTAAGCCCAATAAAGTACAATATTAGTTTCAATAAATACATATTTAGTATAATCAGCATGAGATCAACATATCAAATTTAAATACAAACTGTTTTTTTGGAAAATAGTTAAGTTAATTTTTTAGAATAAAAGACATAAAATAAACTAGGCAAAACAAAACTTGTAATGTGGGAAATTCTTTATTAACTATTATTATTATTTGAGTTATAATCCATAATCAAGTACTGAATATCTATTGAAATTCAAAATAAAATCAAAATAAATATAGCCATTCCGAAACCAAATTTCTTAAAATTGTATCATGCATAAATCTTTGCACTATTTATCTAAAATAACAGTGATCATGAGATACTTTATCTAGTTTAAGCAACAAAAAACCATGAAATTTGGATAATAATAATATAGTGATGTGATGTGATTCCCTCAAACATGTTCATCACATCCTTTTGGTTTACTTAAATAATGTTTCGTTTCACTGATTCTCTAGAAAATAAGGTACACTTTTTCTTCTTTTTTATTTTATTTTATTTTATTTTATGTTTCCCATGTTCCAGTAGTTTTATTTCATTTTAAAAACATCGACCTCGATTATTTTATCTTGGAAATGCAGTACAAACTTAATTTACATGCTTTGAAAAACACAATAGAAAATGCTTAGAATAGGGGCAGTGCGTATTTGATTTAATTTACTTCAATCTTCAGTGCGAATTTTGTCCTAGATACAGCAAATAATATTGATTGAAATTTGATGATGCTAAACACGATCTATATAATTAGAACAGTGCCCTATAAATGTACTGAAATTTTGTGAAATCAAACAATCCTATCAAAGTTATATTTGTTAAGAACAATTCAAAGGATGAAAAAATAATCATTAAAATTATAAAAAATCGATTTAAAAAAAAAAATCCCTTATGCACCCACAAATTTGAAACATAAATAATTTACACCTTTTACATTGATAGCACCACACTTTAGCATGAACATACTACAAAGATGTTGTCTTTGATAATTCTTGACATTTTCGAATAGAAACTGGCAAAATAATCGGATAAATTCAACCACTTTCAAAGCATTTTTTTAATAATAATAATAACGTGAATAAATAATATATTTTAAAAAAGAAATCAAATTAAACTATGGTTTTGTTTTGGTTTTGTTAAGATTAATAGAAATTCAGTAAGATTTAATAATAACAATAATTATAATAATAACGTGAATGAATAATCCATCCCATTCAAGATTGTGAATATTGTGCATGAACTATGAGCCAAATCTGAAGTTAGAATTAGTAACCCCGCAAAAAAAAAACAATTGTACCTCATGGAATAATTGGCTCTTCAAGAGTCAGTCTCAGCGACGTGGCAGAGTTTGTGAGCAGGTTGGTTCCCCGCAAGGGCCTCTCAAACCCCCACGTCACTCATGCACTCATTCCTCCATCCATCCACCCATCAATAAGCCCCCGTCCACTTCATTCATCTACTGTCGGCCATCCCCTTCACGGAGGAGTCTGAAGCCCATTAGAAAACAAAGGGGAACATACAGCAAATGACGCGGAGTTCTGACAGCGCCAGTGCCCCGCCCAACAACGTCATGGGACGGTCCAGATGGCCCTTGTAGACAAAAACCAAGTATTTAATAAATAATGAAAAAACATCCCTCCAACATTCCCCCTCACATTGTCATCCATTTCTACAGTTATTCATCCATTACGTTGATTGAGAAATCCAACACATCCACATCCCTCTGCTTCAAACACACCCACCCCTCCCACACCCCATAGGCCCCCCAACTACCTCCTAAGACTAATTAAAGACTCCCCATACTAATTAGAGTTACCCATGGCCCATTTAGTCAGTGAGGAAGATGCCATCCCCACATCCCACCCCGGAACCCATCCCCATCGTTGCTGCCTACTTTCTTCCCATTAGGTCGGTGGGAGCTCTGGTCAAGGGCGACGATTCCATCTCCGCTGCTGCATGGCCAAGCGCCGATGCATGTTTCCCATCCGCATGGATGAAATCCAGTTCTTAAAGAGAGACACGCACACCATTTCCCAGCCCCCCGTTGAAAAAGGCAAGGACTTCGTTAAAGGTCAGAGCTGGACCCCGAAAGTTTTGCGAATCGGATCATGCCAAGTTACCACTCACCGTCAGCACCCACGTGTTGACTCGCGTCTCATAATTTTGTGGATGGGAAGATGGGAAGATGGATGCTCCCTCGCGGCAGCGTCTACGCGCGGCTTTGCGCGTCTGTAGATGAATGAATAGCAAAGATGGAAGTCATTCCCTCGGCTTTTTGCAGACTGGATTATGTGGTTCTGACTCTATCTGTAACTAAAAAGAATTCTGGCGTTTTCTATTATTGGCTTGAGATCTGTCAGCATTCCCCACCTGGAGTTGAGAATCACTGACAGCTTGGACAAAGCTGTGCTTTCGTATTCGCCTTCGTGCCTTTCACTTTTCACTGAGATATTTGTTTCACTTTCTGTGTAAAGTATTAACTGTGTCACTTATTTTGTGGGATGGACAATAAGTTAGAGGATTATTATAACACCCAGATTTTGGTTCTTCAGGCTCTGATTGCAGCATATCAGCTTTACTGTATGTTTGGCAGTGGGTCAAACAAGGGTTAACAAACTGGATTGCCTGACCCAGTGTTTCATTTGGAAAGTTTGGTGATGTTCCAAATTAGGTATACTAATCTTGGTCCCTAATTATGTCCTGTGTGTGATACATCACAATCTGCAATGGACTAGAAAAATATTTGGTCATAGCCCCTTTCAAACTTCCAAAGAGTGTGTGTGCCCAGCAGACCTTGATCTTGCAATGCTGTACCATGTCATGCTTATTGTTTGTATGTATGCACAATCTCAAAAGTATTGAGACATGAGAACAAGATGTGTGTGAATTTGATGTTGTGATTCTTAAATATACCCTAACTGATCAACATGTTTTTATTTATTTATTTATTTATTATTATTATTATTCTCGTTTTATTGCCAGAAGCTCAAAGATTGACAACATTACAATGTGCTTTTGGGAACCTAACAATAATAACAATTAGAAGGTTAAATAAATAACAATTAATAAATAATAAATAGGCACTAATGCTTTACTTCAATATATGCTGAAATTTGCATGTGAAAGTAGAAAACAAGGAATTATTTTGGAAAAGTTTGTATGCTTGTATGCATGTGTGTACTTTTCAGATGTCACTCTCATATTTTATGATCCAAATAGTAAGATTGATTGCAAATAAAAAGTATACTCAGCAAAACAAATATCAAAACAATCTTTTATGTGTTAAATGTGATAAATGCACAAATTTGTAGTAAACATTTAAACAATCTGAATGGTTTTGAGCTTCAAATTGATAAAAGAAGACACTTACTCTTATGCTATCAGCTTTACCCAAGTTGTGGATAAAACAGCAGAACTAAGTGATCAACAAACCAAATATCATAGCACCAAATTTATATTAAAAAAGATAGCACTGACAATGTATAGGCATTCTTTTCGTGTTGTATTTTTAATTACCCAAAAACCACAATTCATATGTTTTCAGTTTCAATGTGTCTTCTGTTATACTAAATCCACTCATCCACATAAATGCATTCAGTGGAATAAAAGCAATCCTCATGTGCAGTGGTCATTAAAGCATTGCCTTTCTCTTTGTTGCCCAGTTCCAAATATCAGGAACACTTTTGAGCTCTTCATCCATCCATCCATCAGCCACCGAATATTCATCCATCAATTAGCTCATCCATTAATTTATCTGCAATGTTGGATGTCCCCAACTCTTCAGTCCATGGGAAAGCTATTTGCAGTCCAAAGTTGACTTTGTATTGAATGCATGCATTGTGTTATTTGCATGCTTTGATGTCGTATCTCCCCTTCAAAACCAAACAAAGTCATTCAGCTGGGGTTGCCAAGATGAGATTCTGGAGCATTAATTTTGAATTCCTACGGGCACACATAATTATTAAAGAATAAAACATCGAATAAAAATATATAAATGGTAAGAGAGTGCTTGGGATCCAGACCACACAATGGAGAATAGAGATTGGATTTTTTTCGTATTAATTATTGAAAGAAACCCGAGGATGTGAAATAGTAAACAATGTGAGTTGATAATCTTTGTTGATTGGGTGTGCTGCACCAATTAAAATTAAAAGAAACTTGCATTGATAAAATATACTGTGCATGAGTGGTTTGTTTTGTGACATCTCTTTTTCTAACTTGAGATTTATGAAATTCATTTATGCCATGCCATCAAATGAAAAAATAACTCTTCCCAATAATAATGTATGAATATCATGATCTTATGCATGTACATTGTAGAATCCATCTTTTCTTTTCACACACACATGTATTTATATCTATATAATAAGGAAGCTTAAGTTAAAACAAAGAAGCCTTCTCATAAGCCAAAATTTAAGAAAATGTTAACCAACAAAATGCTTGACATAACTTGCAAAAGACCTTTGGTTTATTATTTGCAAACAGTTTTTCCATACCCAAGGGCATGAGTTTCTGCTAATATATAATAAAAAATAAATTGGAAAAATAAAACCCCATGTCCATTATTGTTTGTTTCAAGCGAGTTTTTTCCAATTAGTAACATGATACGTAAATTTGAATTATACATAAATTTGGATTTAATGGTTTGACTGATTACATAAAAGAAAGAAAAAGTACAACATAATGTTTCACATATATGCTTTTTATAGAAATTTGTAGAACCAAATAATCACAATGATTAAAATACCATGTGTGTAGATACTTGCTCCAACATACAAACAAAATACATGCACTCCGGCAAAGTTTCTAAAATAGAAATTTAGCCACAAAGTTTTCAATCTCATTGAAATAAATTTTAATAAATGCATTGTGTAAAATTGGAATTAAAAAGAAGTAAAATAATGAAATTTTAATCCTTCTTTGCACCACTTCTAATGTGACATTTTGTGGGATGTATCAAAGTAAGTGAGTAAAAGTAAAAGTAAGTAAAAATAAAAGTAGAATAAATTATATTACAGAAGATATTATCTTAGATAAGTTGCTATTTCTCTTGATATATAAAAAGCCAAGAGATGAGGTAGATGAATGGACAAAAGCTTTTAAGAATATAGAGAATATACTAAAAGTATATTTGTATATCTATGGATAATCTTGGTAGAATGTTGGATGGATATATTCATCAAAGAATGGAATTTGTCTATTAGGGCAGCAGCCACTATCTATAAATAATGGATATTGGAACTAAAAGATATCTTATTCCATACTCTCTTTGTGAATAACCTTGCTAATGTTATGTGTTGGTAACTTCAAAGTTATTTTTATTGAATAGGATGTAATACATGTTAACTAAACTCTCACACGTTTTTATAAAAATAAATTTAAAATAATAATAATAATAATAATAAAAAACACAAAAACACAAATACAAAAAGTCATACAAAAATATCAAAAGATGGTAGACTCCATAACTGACTTGAATTGTAACAAATCATATTCATAATAAGAAGATTTAAAAATTTACAATTAACAAATAAATTAATAAATTGCACATCAAATATTCAATTTCCAGAAACTGCTTATGCTCTTCAAAAGCCTGATCATGAATTATTCTTTAAACAAGAAGAATTGTTTTATAACTTGAGAATTTACATGAACACTACCAATATATATATATATATATATATATATGAATGGATATATGAATGGATTTATAAAATAAATTAATAATAATAGTTAATATTTAATTAAAATAAATATTAATAAAGTGCTCCAGCAAGGTAGGCAAGACCTGGGAGTGGATCGCAGCGTGGAAGCTCCTCCACGATCCAAACTGACGAATGCTATCATCCATAAATGAAACCCACAGCGAACGAATGAGGAGGAGGGCCAGGCAGGGGCCGCAGTCCAAGGCATGAAGCATAAGTGTGAGAAGCCCACAGCAGCTTTTTCCCCTTCGATGATGCAAGGTGGCTTCGCGACGTGACGGAGGCGGAGGGGCAGCAGAAGAAGAAGCCTACGAGTGAGTGCTGGAGACTGTTGGGTTGAGCCCAAATTGCAGGAAAATCGGTCGAGTGACGCCCGAAATTTCCGATTTTGAAGCTCCCCTTGAGTGGTGTCGAAAGCACTCGCAGAGAGGAGGACTCCGTATTTGCGGCCTGCATTCAGAGAGGCGCTGTGGAATGACAAGGAGGACTGATCATCGCGAGGAGACGACGACGAGAGGTTTAGAGGGCTGAGCCAGCGCGAGATACAGCGCTGGATATGGCTTTTGCTCCGAGGCTCCGTGCGGGAAGTCTGTTTTCGTGTTGGGTTTGAATTTGGGAATGTGTGCGGCTCTGCGCAATTGACTTGGTTTTGCGCACTGGATCATCCGCGAAGATACATCGTGAAATTGGTGGTCTCAAGAGCAGTGGGGAAGTCAGCGATTCCGCAATTGTCTTGATCCTGTCGTGTTCTGCGCTGTCCCGGCATTTGATTTCCTCAGTAGTTGGCGGAGGTTTTGTGCGAGCAGCACTGGGGGTGCATGGATCCGTAGGCTTGTCGATGCTTGGCCGTTGATTGGTTACCAGCTACGGTGAAGTAGTCAGCAGATTTTGGCGAACCCGGTGGAAAGATTGGTCTTTAAAAGCGTAAGTGTATAACTATTGACATGTAGCATTAGTTGAGGCTGGAATTTCTGTTCTTATTCGACCAGCACATTTCTCCTTGTGAAGTTGCCCGCACTGTCAATCGAAAATTCGAAAGGATTTCCCTTGTTGGCATCCTGTTTTCTCCATCGAACCTTCGTGTTTGGCAGCCTTAATATTTTGGTTCCATCCTCTCCTTTTTTTTTCTTTTTTCTTGGAGAGTGGTATTCCAAGGTCGTCAACCTGGCAACCCTGGAGCATAACGACATGAGCAGGCGGTGCTCGCACTGCGGCCTCAATGGCCACAACAGCCGGACGTGTCCCGAACGAGGGGTGCGGCTGTTCGGGGTGCGGCTGACGGACAGCGTGAGCAGCACGAACATGCGGAAGAGTGTGAGCATGAACAATTTGAGCCACTACTCGAACGTGCACAACCCGGCGTCGCCTCCAGAGCAGTGGGAGTCCGGAGCGGCTCCCGACGGGTATGTGTCGGATGGTCTGGTGCAGACGTCGAACAACGCTCGAGAGCGCAAGAAAGGTACGATTCGATTACGCAGCTGGGCTTTGTAAATGCTGAGGCGTGCATTGTGTCTTCTTTTTTCTTTACTTTTGGAAAGCAGCATGTCGGTCAAAACACCTAAAGAAAACGATTGAATATTAAACAAAAACTGTGTCTAGTGCATTCTGCTCTAGAATTGGGACCGATACAGTAGGGATTTCTTCAGTGGAGGTAGTATCTGCAATGAATCATACTGTGCATTAAAGCTGAAGAACAGTTATGAGGTTGGACTCTGGACTTTTTAGCAGAATTTTCGAGTCTGAGTGTGTAGGATGTTTTGTCCATACATTCTTTCCAACATATGGAGATGTGAGACCACCGAAACATCGGAATGTTACAGTGACCAGAATTGAAAGATTACGTTGACGATTTGTGTATTTTGTCAGTACCTTGAATAAGCATCCTAGTTTTGTGCCTACTTCGTAATTATTCTACCGGTGTTTAGTAAGTGGTCAGATTGTGTTGCTGTTAGATTGGTTTTTTCAAGCTACATACTCAATGGACGTAGATAACAAGATATTCTTCTTTCAGTAAGAGTATTGGCTGGTCTACGTTCGAAGGGTTTTTGTTGAGCTTTGACGAGTTGCTGAACACACATCCTAATTGGAACATTATTCAGAAGGCTGGCAACTCTCCAGTATCACTGAATGCAAGTTTTCGGAGAATTGACATTCACGCATATGCTCCCCTCTTTGCACATTGATCTTATGGCCCATTTGTTACTGTTACAGGTGTGCCGTGGACAGAAGATGAGCACCGTCTATTCTTGCTGGGATTGCAAAAGCTCGGAAAAGGTGATTGGAGAGGTATTTCGAGGAATTATGTGCATACCCGGACACCGACGCAGGTTGCAAGTCATGCTCAGAAGTATTTCATCAGACAGAGTAACTTGAACAAGAGAAAGAGACGATCCAGCCTTTTTGACATAGTTTCTGAATCGGCAAGTGTCTACCATATCTCTGCAGCATTTCCACGTGTCAGTAATGTTTGCAATACTGATAGCAACCGAACAGCAACTAACTGAAATATGGGTCTTAGAAAGGCCATAGATCAGACGGATACAGGGTCCACACATGAAGAGACGCTTGATAGTATTCTAGGGACAGAGCATCTCACGAAACTGAGCGGAAGACTGTGGATCAGTAGAATATCTAATTTTGACTGGAATGGTATATGCATCTTCATTTGATGCTGCAGCATTGTTAAGAAAACAATGCCTGCGATATATCCATGTTTGTACAAGTCCGATTATATTACTTAGCGCTAGCCATTTCTCTTACGTTTTATGTCTAAGTTGATTCTCTGGTATGATGCAGGGTGTTCCTTCGATTGCCGAAGAGTCCACGTCCATCGCTGATGAGGAGCACGCCACCCCTCTCCCGCAGTTGAGCCTGGGTCACAGCTCCCTCTACACTGCAGCAGGGGTGCTGTACAAGGCGTCGTCGATGCAGGGATACAGGCTGCCAGTTCGGCCTCACTCGGTGCCCAAGCATGCAAGCCTGCCCATGGCGTTGCCGTTGATGGCGGTGGGAAGCAGCAGAGGAGGAAGAGGAGCAGCGGGTGCAGAGGGGATGACGACGGAGGTGGTGGGGATGATGGGGTTCGATGCCAAGAGCTCGTCCAGAAGTGGGCTGGAGAGACCAGTCGCGCGGGGGATGAGCAGCAGCTACAACATGGAGAGCAGCTCCTCCAGGAGCGCCATGGACAGAGGCGGCCCGGCCGTGCCAGTGGCAGTGGCATCATGCGCGGGAGACCCGGGCGTGCGCGTCGGTGGAGCGTCGGGGGCTGGAAGCATACCGTTCTCGTTCAGCTGGTGGGCAGGGCTGGGGCAGGGCAGGCCGATGGGTCCGTCACCGCCGCAGTGCAACATCGTGAGACCGACAGCGAAGGTGGCCGCGGTGAGCTCAGCACCAGCGAAGATGGAAGAGGAGGAGGAGAAAGAGGATGGTCGGGACATCGCTGAGCTGAGCTTGGGACCGTCGCGTGCGGAGCCTTCGCAGCTGACGGCAAAACTGCTGGAGGCACCGTCGAGGCATTCGTCGGCGTTCCACGTGAGCTCGTCGTTCGATGCGAACAGCATACAGCAGGGAGTGAATGCGATCAGCGTGGTGTGAAGCGGGCAGAGGGAGGGAGGGAGAGAGAGAGAGTAGGAAGAAGAGCGTAGGAGGTGTAGAGTAGGTGGCAGGGCAACTCCGGTGCATAGGAAGGAGAGCCATGAACGGAAGAAGGAAAAGAAGCAGCAGCAGAAGTGGCATGATAGAGGGGTCGCTGCAGAGATAAATTCTTTATGTACATAGCTACATTTATTGGTGCGCCAGAGCAGAGAGAAGACCACAGCAGCTGTAAATTTGCGACGATGCGTCGACAACGAGGAGGAAGATGAGGGAGCTGCTGAATTGAGCGAGTTACGTGGGATTGCCGTTTGTGGATCTTGAATCTAATCAGGACTTGAGTACGACTTGAATCAACACTCAGTAGTTTCGGATGTTTCCCGTTCTCTGTATACGCAAAGCAAAGTGAAGTTCGTGTCAGTAAAGTATGCACGTGTTTGGCCTTTTATTCTGAGTCGCCATGTTTGTTTATGGTGAATTTGCATCTCGGGCAGTGCTTGTTCGACGTTCTGTTTTTGAACAGTTCTGAAGTAGTTGATGGGATGGGCATCATTCGCTGTGATATTATGGGGTTGTCTTTCACGTTGGTATATAATACCACTTTTGAGGTGTATTAGTCCAAAATCATGTAGTCATCTGTCTTTAATGGCACATCATCTGGCTTATTGTCTAGGCTGTCCCTTCAGTTTACAGTTTCATTGGTATTTCTGTGAGTTTATGCACGAGGTAACTCTCCGATTCGGATGGGGACGAACGCACACACACATTCACTCGATCACTCTCACACTGCTGTCCTTGGAACTCCTGCGCCCGGAGTCATCGTCTGTGCATGTCTGCAGGGGCAATCTCTCTTTGGTTTTCTATGTACAGGTTGTGTGCACGACAGACACCGCTTACACCACGAGCAGCAACGTTTTGCAGGGTATCTACTGACCGTGGGCAGCGAAACTTGGTACCAGGCAATACAATATTCAGGTTGAGTGTGCAGGACTTGTTTCGTCTGACATTGCATGATTGGTTCGTGCAGAGAAATTGCTGAGGATCATGGAGATGTCCTTCTTTTAAGCGTGTGTGATTTGCTGTCCACAACTTCATTTGTTTATATTTTGTATTTTTTTTTTTTAAAATAACTTGTCACCAGTTTGCATTTGCTCTAGGGAGCGTTACCTGCTCACGTTTGGAATTGAAAAGTGCACGATTAGAACCTGTCACTCTTCCCTACAGTCAAATCCAGTTGCCGAGCGTATCCTGTAGTGACCACATGTTTGAAGATTAGCGATGCTTCCTCTACCTTCACAAGCTTCCTTTCAAGCGTGGTGTGCATTGCGTATGAGTTGCCTGCATTCATTGTTACTATCTCAGGTTTAACATGCCGATCCTAAGCCACTCTTCCACCATCTTCGTTAACCATGCCTTCAAACCACCACCCGGAGCTTCATCAAGGGTGATTGTGAAATTTGAACTAATAGCTCTTTTAAGAGTCTCTCAACAATTCTGTCCAGGGAACCGTAAAAAACTGAGCCAATCTTTTAGTTATTTGAATCAGGTACTGTGCAGTCGGGAAGCAATTATGGGTGCCCACCTGCTTCTACTCTTTTTAAGTAATTCTGGTCAGAAATTATTCCTCACAAGCACTGATCGAAGGATCTAGAACAAAATTTTCTGTGAGGATCCCCGCATTTGGGTGACTCTGAATCTCGGGAAGATACACCGCAGTATTCACTGTATGTTGGAGCATGTTGAATCCGCAATCCACTATTAAATGAAAAAAAAAAGCAAAAGCTTTGAGTATCTTGTGTCAACACTTGTAAGAAGCTATTTACATGAAAAAAAAAAAAAAATTGCCAGAAGTTTAACACAATCTAATAAGAGCCCTTGGATGAAACTCTTTACAAACTTATAGAAACCATCATCATGCTTAGTAAAGCATAGCACAGTGCAACAATTACCAGCCTGAATTGGCACATTCAATGGGGACATGGTTCAAACAGCTTCATGTTTTCTCAGCTGCATGTACCCATGTTGCAAATTTGGTCTCCATGTTGGGGCTCAAATGGGGGCAGATCTGGAGCACACCCAATCACCTTTATTGTTACAAGAAGTCGAATAAAAACAGTTCAAGGTTTTGTTTAAGGTTGGTTCCATGACCTGATATGTTACTTATATACAGTAGAAAGAAAACTGTTCATGAATCTTTATAATTTATCAAAGAATAGTTGAGGGCAGTGACAAACCCTAGTTTACAATTTCCCATGTTTGCCTACAGTGCCTTGATAAATGACACCCCCCCCCCAATGCATATAGCCCCTGCATTATTACAATCAACTCACTGCACTATCTTTGCTAAAGTATCTAATTATACATATACACACATGTGCAAATATATATATATATATATATATATATATTTATGTGGGAATATTAAACTGATCTAGATAAATTTTAAATTGACCTATTTTTGTTCTTACTGTCACGTATTCTGATTTGACCATTTCGTCCATTCACTCCATTTCAACATTTCATTCTCCTCAATTAAGTCACACACAAAAAAAAAACAAAACAAAACAAAACAAAAACAAAACAAACAAACACACAAACAAACAAACATTAGACATACACTAGAAATACAATTGTGAACAAGGAAAAAAAACTCCAATAATACAAAATTTAGGGGTTGGTCAGGAACATATGACGTGATACATGGCAGTTAGAGCAAAGTTGGGTCTATTTAATATTCTCTTTATATATATATATATATATATATACCATGCCTGGACAAGATATAAACCTACCTACATTGGGTAACAGGTTATTGTGTTTAAGGCATGATTTTCTGTGATAAAACTGGATGGCTTCACAATTGGGTGAAAAAATGCAAAATTTTCTAGAGTTTTAGCCATTTGGTCTGAATGTCGAGAAAAATCTGAACAAAATTATTTAAATAAATAAATAAACTCCAAATTATCCAGATATCCTACCAACAGGGATATTGTGGTGGAAGCAGAAGATTTAGGAATCGAAGAGCACAAGACTATCTTGTGAGGGTCCAGTTTTGACGGCCACGATCCCCCCCCGGCCTCAAAGTATGCAGGAATTTCAACCCTTCCTTTTCTTTTTCTTTCTCTATTTCCCTTTCTTTCTTCCCCCCTTAATTTATTTAATAGGCCATCCTCCTTTTACTTTCTCGTAGTTGAGTGCATGGGACATATCCAATAAAACGTGACCATCTGTCAGTTTAGCTGGCCTCCACGCCTCGTATCCTTTTTCACTTTTATCCTTTTCGTACGGCTGACCTGTTAGAACTATGGAGGAGGTATTGCTGTCCTAGCTGGCACTGGAGCTGCTGAACTGGCACGCAGCTGCGATGAGAGCGCCGCTGACTTGGCAGTCCACGTCTTCCAGACACCACGGGAGGGTCGTTCACACCTCAGCAGCGTAAGACTGGCTTTTTTGTGGGTTGGATAAGCTTAAATTCTGAACCAGCGACGACTCCATTGACCCCAGCCTCTTAGCCTTTGTTGGGTCTTTGGAGAAGGGCATAGGGGATGTGGATGCTATTAAACCATGGGGCAATTGGATGGTGCCATCTACTAATTGAAACCCATTTGGGAGACCTCACAAAGATCAAGGCAAAGGGGCACAATCACAAGGCATATTGCTATTACAAATCATGATAAAATGATGGGATTTCTTTAGCTCACCCATTGGTGTCAAATCTATGTGGAATTCAAAAAACAAAAAAAAAGGATATGTTTCTTTTGACATTGACATGGCATTGACTCAATTTTACTTTATTTTGTGTTGTTTTGTTTTCTTTCTTTTTTGGGTTATTTATGGTTTTGGAATGGCACTATAAAGACTCATTGATTGCATCATCATCAAAATAGGATTGAAACATGTTTTGTTGCAATGATATTGTTGCAATACACATTCACTCACTTCATTGTGAGATGGTAGAAACAAGCATTCTCTTTCATTCTTTGTTTTGTTTTGTGTACATTGTTGTTATTGTTGTTGTTGTTTTTTGTGTTTTTGGATCACTTCCAAAATAACTTCAACATAAGAACATGTTCTAACTAGTAGAGAATATATATATATGCTTGTGTAATCCAAAAATAGATTAAATCAATTTATTTATTTAAATTACTATGATTGTTATGGTTTAGATAAGCCATGTATGATGACCCAAATGTGTGGAATTTTAATATTCTGTCAAACTGTGCCAACTTTTCTATAGCTTATAGCTATGATGTCCATCTTTGTTTCATTCCAACTGTATAGAGAATTACTTGTAAGGTTTGGTTGAGTTTTTTTTTCTTTTCAATGTATGTTTCCAATATATATTGTTACAATCAATGAAGCATGTCTGTTTGTCTGTTTGTTGATTTGTTTATTTGTTTTATTTTTTTTTTAAAACCCAAATATATTTGCAAATTTTATCATCAAAAACTTTTTCATTTTAAAATATCCAAATGGTCCAAACAGACACAGTACTAACCAAATCTTGTTAAACGTTTTTTTAAACTTAGTTCCAATCTTGTTGTAAGGATTTTTTTATTCATGTGCAACTGCTTTCTATGGCCCCTACCTCCAAATACATTGGTGTAGTTGATTATGTTAAAATGCAGCTAACTCCTTGACAGTTACAACTAGTCCACATTCTCAAATTCTACAAAAAAACTATTTCACGTTCCCAACATACACATAAATTGACAATGAAAATAACACACCCTATTGCATATAGGCTCTCCACACATTAAAAAGCACACCCTAAAAACCCATGTCTTGATACCAGGAGAACAGGTGGGGAACAAGGTTGAGAACGTTCGAAAACACACATGGGAACACGAATGACGGAAAAGGACTCGTAACGGACGTTCCCAACAGCCGGTCGGACACCGGCGTTTCCGGTGGACGGCGCCCGTCGCGAGGAGTTGAGGCAGGGGACGAGAGGAGGACCGACACGAGAGAAAGAGAGAGAGAGAGAGAGAGAGCTGACTCATGGCGGTCTGAAAATTCATCAGCACTCGGCCACACACATTCCTTCGTAACTAGCCACACACACTCACACACTTTGATCGGAATTCCAACCCTGAACAGAACCCAAGGAAGCAACAAACAACCCTTGAGGGACGAAGAAGAGGAAGAAGAAAAGGGGCTGTTGCTGCAGCAGGTGTGTCGTCGCCAAAGCCATCGATTCTGGCACTGTTGCTTGGGGTTGTGTCCATGTTGCGGAGGGGGCGGTGCCCAATGAGCAGCGCCGCAGTGCGTTGGACGCTGCAGCACCATGTCTCCAGAACGAGTCAGAAGCGGACATGGTCGGGGCACCTCGCATCGTTGCCTTCGGGATGCCCTCCCCCTCTCTCGTCCTTTTCGCCCTTTCGCCGTGCCCCCCGCTTGGCTTTTGCATTTGAGATTGGTTGGTTGGTTGGTTGGTTCCCCAAGTAA